GCGGCGCTTATCAGCTGTCCGGGCAGCACAGCTTAAGTTTTTTTACACACGTGCACAGAGTAAAAACATAGTCCCCGAACCAGTAGTAACACCGGTTGAATCCCACCCCTGGTGTAGGGTTAGTATTTTACAATAATAATAATAATAATCTAAGGGGAAGAAAGACAGAAGTGTGAAATATCTGGAATATTAGGAAGATAGCAGATAGCGGTAGCATATTTCTTCTCTGCTACAACTTAAAATCAGTGGGTGTAACTAGCACTCAATTGGGACAAGCTGCCCCCCCCCACCAAAAAAAATTTAGCTGCAATTATCCTCTGAAATTCACTGCAACTAGATTTGATGATGGCATTTCTGATTGAACAGTTTCAAACGTTCAGAGGCATTAATTCAGCTCAGCTCCGTCTGGACGCCATTGCCTTTCGCGTGCAGAATTACAAAGATACCTCAGTGACTACTTTGCAAGTGACTGATTAGCAAGTTTGTAGAAACATCTCCATGATTTCAGAGCAGGGACAAAACAAAAGAAGAGGAAAATCTCCACAATTCATATATCTGTATCTCTCTGATTGGGAATTTAAAATAATAATAATAATCCAATTGCAAGAAGATTCTACAAAACAAAGCTTGAAAACAGTCTCCCTTATTATGTAGGACTTTGGGACAGGAGCTCCCATAATCCACATCCTAACTCATCCAGAAAGTTCTATGCTGGGAAATGGGGACATCAATATATCTTGGTTCTCCTTGCCTTGGAATATCGAGTTTGGATCTTAGCCATGAAAAATATTTAATTATTAAAAAATAAATAAAACCAGTATTTATAAGGATTAGGTTACTGGCTGGTCTTGTTTGGATTTACTGTTGGAAATCAGCTGTTCTTCCAGTCTATGACTCTGTGATGTTCTGATACCTTTCCTTTTTAGAAGTTTGGTCATAGTGGTAGTCCTCATTTAATGATCACAAATGGGACCTGAAACTACATCATTAAGTGACATGGTTATTCAACAAAACGTCACATGACTGGACTATAAGACTTAAAAATATCTTATAAGGCCATCAGTGTCTCTGCAGTCATTAAGCGAATCACCTAGTCATTAAGCACAATATCACAATGACCACAATTTGTGACTTACTGCCAGCTTCTCCAACTCTGCTTGTTGGACGCTGGTTGCAAAGCTCACAAACAGCGATCAGGGGATGCTGCAATCATCATAAGTTTGAGTTGTAAAGTTACTTTTTCAGCCTAATTGTAAGTTTGAACAGTCGTAAAACAGGACAGTTGTTAAATGTGGAGCATCTATATTCCAATCCACAGATAAAGCTTAGGATGTAAGAAGAAAGAGGGTGTAAGGTAGACACCATATTATTTGGAGTTCATTCACATCTAAATTTGCCTGCATGTTGAATTTCATTTATTTTATTCTTAGCAATAGTGTGAAATCACTTTGGCTTGTGAGCATGACTACCTCTGTGAAGTGGAGAGGGTGTTAAGTAAGTTCACAGGCTATTCAGAAGCTAGGACCATCGCTTTACATCTCCATAAGCTCAAAAGACATTGCTTACTGAGCCCATTAGAATAGAATGAAATAACTATTGGAAGGGACCTTGGAGGTCTTCTAGTCCAGCCCCCTGCTTAGGCAGGATACCCAACACCACTTCAGACAAATGGCTATCCAACGTCTTTTTAAAAACTTCCAGGGTTGGAGCATCTACAACTTCTGGAGGCAATTTGTTCCACTGATTAATTGTTCTAACTGTCAGGAAATTTCTCCTTAGAAATGTGCAGTTATGTCGGAAGGATCTCCTTTTGTTTTAAGAAAAGTTTTGCTCATACCAACATTTGTGCGGATGAATAAAATGAGTCATTTTTTTTTAGTGGAGAGTTAATTTCAATAAATATGAAACTGCCTGTACTTTCCTTCCTAGTTCATTTTTCATTTTGTTCATAATTGTTCTATATCGGGGTGGGGAACCAACCATGGTCCTTTTATGACTTGTGGACTTCAACTCCCAGAATTCCTGAGACAGCAAAGGAGTCATAAAATGGCCATGGATCCTCACTCCTGTTCTATATAAAGAACTTTGTAAGGGTATTTGACTCGTTAAATTTCGTTCTGGAGAAACTTTCAAATCAGTCCTGCTAAAATGGAATGTAGTATGTTTCACAGACACCTTATGAGACGTTTGCAACAATTATGGACCTTATGAAGTGACATACAGTAATAGTACCAGACACTTTTTGTGATATGTGCGCCTTTACAAAGGGTTTTTATTTCTTAAAACTAGTAAAAATCATCAAGATTTTGTCCCTTCAGTTTGTAAACATTTTCCATTTCATTTTGATCCCAATCTACAAATCTTCAAAATTTCCAAACATCTTTTTTCTCCCAGTTTATAGGCACATTTCTCTATTAGTTTTTATACAGAAAAAAGAAAACCCTGTTCCTTTCTTAACAGAAAACGAGACAGAGAAAAATACACTTTATTCTACACTGGGTCTTGCTCTGTGATAGGGCCAAAGTAAAACCTTGGTCTAAATGGGTAAAAAGTATTTAGTTCCTGTAAAAGTAAAATCTGACATTATTTCTTTAACGCACCAGATAGGCAAACAGCTTAAAGTATAGGCCACGTGGTTAGCAGAAATCTGCACTGCTAAATGTGAGGACATACTTTTTCATTATTTGGTAATACATTTATTTTTTGACCGAATCCTGTTAAGCCATTTAAACAACATCAGTACAGTATTATATAAAGGGAAAGGTCTGGAAGAGATAGTTCTTTTTCTATTTGAATGTCACTATAATAGAGTGGGACATACATTTGCAAATAAATGTACTGCAAAAAAAAAATCTTAAAAATATATGAAAAGTGAATTCCTCTTTATAGGTACAATCGTGTTTACAAATACAGCTAAAGGAATATTTTAATCCCATGCAAGTCAATGACACATTACTTTAAAAAATGGGCCAATCAACAGCTATATTTTATTTTTTATTTAACCGATCTAGAGCAAGACTTTAATCTACAAGGAAGGCAAAATCTAACTCTTTGTTCTTTTCCTATGTTCTTGATTGAAATCCCACTAAACTGCCATTTATATTGCCTTTAAGTAAGCCACTGCTTGGATGAATCATTTTTTTGGGCAAAGCAAATCAATGCACAGAAAGTATAATCTAGATCACATTGAGTATTCAAAGTTAAAATATATTTCCCTGCATCCAAACTACAGTAGCAGTAATCCAGAGTGGAGCCTCTATATTATAGATAAAATTAGTTATCTTCCTCTTTCATAGGGTGGGGTGCAGGAAAATATGTTTTAACTTTGAATCTATGATATGGGAAATATTTGGAGCAATTTGTTTTACATTTAGCAAATGAAAAAAGATTAAGCAATGATTCATGTCATTCAATGATTGTGTTTGCTTGTGTGGATATATATGAAACACATTATATGATTTTATGCCTTGGGAGTGATGTTGGATTTATATTTAATGAGAAGTATGACAGGGTAGCCAACTTCCCAAAAACATATTTCAATGTTCCTTGACAAAAAAAAAAAAAAAACCACAGCCTGCCAACATAGCAAAAAAAAAAAACCCCACCAAACTTTTTGTTTTTTGAAACTTAGAGCTGAATAAAAGTTTCATATGTTTCAGGACACACTCAAAACTCTAGAATAGGTAATGTTGCTCTCTCTTGGTTCACACAGGATAAAATTCCTTGTGTCACTGAAAATCTTGCCGATATCAGAAATATGTGTGGATCCAGGTGGGCTTAAATCACAACTTGCAGGCCAATTGTGATGAGTAGAAGATTTATTTCGGGGTGTTTCTGTTGAGTTGCTGATAACACTCCAGATGGCTTTTTCAAGCAAAATGGAAATCTCTAAAGATCTCTAAAGGCTGTCTGACAAATCATCCATTGATCTTTACATCTGATCTTCAATGCAAGCTGGTGTATGTAGATGATATAGTCTTCCTATTATTCAATTAGAGCCTACTTCCTCTTTGTGCAAGACTGGAGAATTTGCCTCAATATATTGGACAAATATATATATTTATAACCCAGTATGGCTAAACACTCATGCCTATCTCCAGCCATCATACCAGCTGTCAGAAGATTTAACACCAGTTTATCAATAAGATGTTTGTTTCCTTTTAAGACAAAGAATGTTGAAATAAGCATACAATTTCTCCCCCTCTTATTAATAGAATTCCTTATTTTTCCTCCTACAGCTAAGATAAAACTTTTTTTTTCTTTCAATTCTTTTCATTTTCCAATATTACTTTCACCATCTTGAGAGATGGTCAAAAGAATATCACCAAAGCACAAATGGACAAACGAAAATAGGCTGTAGAACTAAGAAGCAAAGTCTTGTTCATACTACGCAACCGCATGCATAATAATAGTAATATTAATAGCCACACTATGGAAAGCTCATTCTGAAAATCGGAGTAACGACATCAGAAAGGGCTGGAGAGCGTTTCTAGGTAACAGAGGAATAAATCAAAACATTCAGCGTAAAGGTTGTATTGACCCGTCTCTGAATCCATACAACGTGAAGGTGGACCCAAATCAACGATGCATTAGCAAGCAAAAGATTATGATGCCACCACAAAGGTCAAAAGGAGAACAATGTTCAAAACATCAAGCCAAAAAGGGAGTGGGAAAGTTAAAAAAAAAAAAAAGAAAGCTTAAAGAAACACATCAGCCATTTTCCTAAAAGCGTTAACATGTTTAAAGGCAGAGCAGTAAAATTGGATGTGACAGTATTTGCCGTATAACTTATTTGTTTTTTGTTTTCATCATCTCTGGATCTCAGATGACTCCAATAATAATTCCACACACCTCTACAATTCATTTTTGTTTGTTTGTTTTTGCTTCTAGCTTTGTGTTCCTGTCGTATATTCTGTATTTGGTTTGGAAAAGTGCAGAATGAACCTGCGCGGGATGGAAAATAAATAATTCAATGAAGATTGCAAATGGCGTAAGGATACAGTCCCTTCCTGGAAAGAGGATTTTATGGCGCACCATTTCTCCCATAATGCATCCTACTGACCATATATCCACTAGAACGGCAGAGACAGGGAAATGAAGAGAGAAAAAGAGGAGGGGGGGGGAGGAACAGGAAAAGTTAACTAAAACACTTTGGATCCTATAGGAGGGGAAAAAGAGGAGGTTGATCAAAGAAAGCACAATTTTATGTACCTTCCACCAAACATTTTTTTAAAAAATACAGATACACACACAGAGAGAAAGAGAGAGAGAGAGAGAGAGAGACAAAATACCCACTCCATGCACAACTACAGGTAGTCCTTGACTTACAACAGTTCATTTAGTGACAGTTTAAAGTTACAACGGCACTGGAAAAAAGTGACTTATGACCGTTTTTCACGCTTATGACCATTGCAAGCATTCCCATGGTCCAAATTTGGATGCTTGGCAACTAACTCATCTCTATGACGGTTGAAGTGTCCCAGGGTCCTTTGATTCCCCCTTTGCAAACTTCCCATCAGCCAAGTCAATGGCAAAGCCAGATTCACCTAACAACCGTGTTACTGACTTAACCTCCGCAGTGATTCACTTAACAAATGCGGCAAGAAAGGTCATAAAATGGAGCCAAATTCACTTAACAAGTGTGTGGCTCAGCAACATAAACTTTGGGCTCAATTGTGGTCGTAAGTTGAGGACTACCTGCATTTCATAAAAAGAAGCAACTTGGAGGTCCACCCAACCAGGAAATACCTACTTCATCAAACTTTTATTCCCCTTTATGGAAAGAACAGCAACTTTAATTTCAGAGTCATTGACACTTGGTATTAATGCTCCATTTTCTTATACCATGAGCCACAGATAAAGATCTTATTTATTCAGAGATAAAATCTTATTATCCCTTTTCTGGGAATAAAGCCTTCTAAATTCATGAGGATTTATTCTGAACGTGGACAGCATGGCATGTGGCTCCAATCATTTCTAATTGACCCAACGCAGGGAAAGTCAAATTTTGTAATCTATTTCACCCAGGTCACTCCTTCTTACAAAATACCAGGAAAGTTGACGTATTCTCATGACACGTTCTTGTTTATTCTCCTGCACAAGGAAATTACCAAGTAAATGGATTTGGGACGTGGGGATGAGAAAAGCTAATCATTCCAAAAGAGCTACTTAATAGCATTTGGGAGGATTAAATAAAAACTGGGTCAATGGTTGCCGTGTGGTGGAAGATGTAGCAAAAAGGAATCTTTCATGAGCTTTTGATTCCTGCTATGTTTACTAATAGCCTTTATACAGAGTCCCATTTTGAAGCCACATTTATAGGTTTCCAGCTACTACAATTTCTAAGTCTGGCTGTTTTATATAGCTGGATGAGCAATACGGATAATGATATCCTAAGTCCTTTCTTCAAGCTATCAGAGACTTGCTAAGAATGGCTATAAATTATACAGCCAACAAGTTATATTGGCCTTGTTACTTCTCAACTCTTTTGATTACCCTACTCTCCGAATGATGATTGTACAGGAATGAGCCACATTAGCTTACGTGTCCACGAAAGAGGAAAGAGTCGTTTCCATTGCAGCTGATGTGGTCCAGTGTTTTAAAGGGCTCAGCTAATCTCGTACGGTCACCCTATTAGACTACCCAGAGATTTTGTAAAAGTTGAGAGATGGGTTGGATGCTTTGTATCTTAACTGATGAATGGCTTTAAAAATGTTTGCAGTGGTTCTTTGATCACAACAGAGAAACCTAAAAGGACCCACAATGTAGATAATGAATGGACAGAGAGAGATTCATAGAAGATATAATATTTAGGTCTGCTTTTCAGGTTCACTGTATGAGTGGTAACTAATTATCAAGTGGTCCTTGGGAAGGAATAGAAACAGAAGGCCAATTGGTCAGTCACACACAAAATCAGCGATACTTTTAATCAGTAAGAAAACAAGAACTCCTCAAAATGTTCAGCGGAAATCAAGAGATATTCCATAGTAGGCCACTTATTTAAGCTGAAATGATTAGTTATAAGACAAATACAGGAGGAACTTTTGCTATGGATGCTTTTTTTTTTTAGGTAAAGTTATCATGAGAAGCAGAGTTTAATTAAGAGCCTGGTATTATTTCTAATATGTCTTTCTATTCTTCCCCCAGGTAATTTTTCATTAATATGGTAGCTGCTGCAACTTAGCCCCAAGTCCATAATTACAGAAGAAAATACAGGGGCCAAGCAGTTAGATAAGTCTTAACAGACAAGGAAAGAATTGCCCATGATCCAGTTTAATGAAATTTAAGGGACATGTGAAATGTGATGGAGTAATTTATTAATCTTTCTATCTCTGTTAGATATAAAGCCAAAATAATCTCTACATCAGTATACTTAGCAATGATAGGACTACATAGGGGAAATGTCTGATATACAGTAGTTTCCGCATTCCTCAAGAAAGATATGGTTTCTGAATGGACTTCTGGTTTGAGCTTCTTCAGTGACAGACTGAATCCACGATCGTGCACGGTTTCGATCCGTGCTCAGCACCGGAGCACCCCGAGCTGGCTGGATTCGGGGCTAAGCCTTCCTGTAAAGGTAGTGAAGAGGGGGGAGACCGCCAGCAAGGTCGAGGAGAGCCTCATCTCTCCTCCTCAGCTGGCCATTACTCCCTTTCCTGAAGGCAGTTGCAGCGGTGGTCAGAAATGGCCACCTCAAAGAAGAACTTGACTGGAAAAGAATGTGCAGGAGGAAGAGAAAGTTTTGGTTGACTGGGTTGAACTGAAAAAGCAACAACATAAGGTACCCTAGAATTTGAACTATAAAAAATAACATTGTTCCCAAAGAAGACTTTGAAGCAGCGAAGGAGAGAGGGAAGGGAAAGGATTTTCCAACCATATTTAGCACTATGAACCCACCATGAAAAAGGGCTAACTTATTCTATCCAGTATCATCCAGTATGCCGAGTAATTATTTTCTAATGCTTTTTCAATCTATTTTCTTTTCCTTTCTGCTTCTTCTCTTTTTGTATCCTTGACAAGAAGTAAATTGTTGTGGACTCAAGCTATTCTTTTTATTAACCAAAACAAATGTTTCATTTAGGGGACAAGATGGACAGGTGTGAGAATGGGAGTCCAATATATTAGACTAGTACTTTAATGGAAATAGTAATTTAGGAATCTTGGGAACAGGATAAGCAAACAAGGGTAAAATAAATTATCCATAAACTTGGATTGAGAGAAAAATGAAAGCATGGAATAGCCCTAAAAGGCAGATAGAATGATAGATGAACATTAATTTAAAATAACTGACTTTCCTTCTAGAAATTTAAGATGATTTCCTGATATTTTAAATCTAGAAGGAACATTAAAAATAAAATCTGTTTCTCTTCTTTCTTACAATGCTTCTATTATATCTACAATGTTCCAGGAGTTCAAATTAATTTCTCACATGACCATAGTCTGTTGCCCCATTTATAGACATGTTCCTTTCTCACTTGATTTTCACTAAGCAGCAAAATTCCTGGATTCTTCATTGCATAATATCCTAGTCTAGGTTTGCCTATGTGAAATATATTAATTTTAGCTGTCACAGGAATGACATAAAGAGCCTGATCATAGATTTCTTGAGGAAGTTCTAGGAGGTGTTTCAGTTCGGAGGGGTGTCTGTTCAGTAGAAAGGGAAGACCACATTAGCAACCTGAACATCATACTCATGCATTTTTGAAGGTTTTTATGATTGCCAATGATCACTTGGCCTTTTGTCTGATCCAGTGTAGATTTCTTATGTTCTTATGTACCCTATCCACAGAAACCTGTCTTAACAAGTCCTGTGCTTTGTTAGAACTTACATTCTAAATCAAAACCAACACTTGAACTCACCTTTTTTCTCAGTTGGCTGTTATAAAACTTCTGAATAAGAAGATTTCCAATGCATCTCACCCTTTATTATCTTTTTTTTACGATATCGTTTTTTTTTTAAAATCTAAGTGAGTACTATTGATAACTAACAACTAGAATTTCTTTTAGGACAACTGACAGTTTGAAATAGCAAATACAAAGTGTATTTTAAAAGTAGCCTGCATTTTTATCCAATTTTATCCAATTTAATCAACGGAGAAATCAGGCTAAAAATCAGCTACTAAATGCCAGCTTGTAGACTGCAGTCAGGTATCTGTGAAAAGAACTGCAGCATGCTAATTGGATCCCCCCAACTTAAAAGGGAAGGCTTTCAAAGATGCAAAATTTCCTCATTACATTTAACACACAAGGTATTCTCATTTTAAAATTGTTTAGCATTGTTTAGCATTCATTAGCAATCTAATGAATGTGTTTCTGTAGTTTTCTTATTTGCAGCCTTGATCTATGTCATTTATGCAATCATGTCATAATAATGTATTACTAGTAGGGATTCTTTTTAAGCACACAAATGCTTGGTAGGATTAAAAAAATTGAGCACAACAAAATAATCATCTTCTCTTCTTAGCATGTCATTTGGGCTAGAAGAGGTTTCTCCCCAGCTCTATCCACCCCATTTAAAAAAATAAAAATGGCTCAGTTATGGTATAGTAGGGTACAATTTTAACATCACTATCTTCTCCGCTCACCTAGGGACCTAAGTATAAGGACTACATTCAATATTTCATTTTTAATGTGGTAGCAACAAAATGGACCCATCCAAAGTCAATGCTGCATTTTTATGATAATAGAGGATTTTAGCAGATTTTCTACAGCTGAGCTGAGAAACTTTCAGTTCAAATATTGCTCCAGAAGGGTTGCCAAAATGGCTTTGTTGTGGCTCTGACTAATAGGCCTTCCCTCTTTCTAGATTGGGATAGAGAACAATGGCCTTTTTATGACTTGGGGAGTTCAACTCCCAGAATTCCTGAGGCGGCCATGCTGGCTCACAGATTCTGGGAGCTGAAGTCCACAAGACATCAAGGAACCATTGTTTTAGATCAGGAGTGTCAAACTCGCGTCATCACGGCATCGTCACATGCCAAATCGGGACTTTTTTCCCATTTGCTAAACCGGGCAGGGGCAGCATGTGACTCATCTGGCCAGCGGGCCACGAGTTTGACTTGCTCTACCAGAAAGGAATGGGGAGGAAAGGAGTCACAGTTTTTTTTAAAAAAAAAAAACACAAATATCTCAGCAAATCCATCATGTCCTTTGGAGTTAGTGTATTGTGTGAATCCATCAATTGTGTGTCATAAGTCATGCCATCTTTTTTTTTACACTAAATCAATATAAATGCATTGTGTTTAGGCCTGAAGCCTCCATACCTCTGCTGAGTTTGGAAAACGTAGTTGAGGAGGGCCAATTTAGCGAAGGGAAGGATTAATAAGGACATGCTTTGAATCCAGTAAAGATTAGAAGACTGGAAATGTGGCAGAGACGAAGGCTACTTTTTCACTGTAACATGCTGCCTTTGGACTTTCCCTCTTACTGCCTGCAGAAATTTTGTGCCGTCACATTTTGTGACCTGGCTGCTGTTCCCTGAAGTCAAGGTGGTGGAAACTACAGCTTAATTCCCCTTTTGCTCCCATCCTTAATTCTTTCTTCAGTTTTCTTCTGCAGCATTGAAAAATGGTTTTGTGGATAGTGAAACAAATTTTGTTTGTTTTTTAAATGAGGAGAATATTATCTCAAGATGCTTTGGTATTTTTTGCTAGGGGAAAAAAAGAAAAGAAAACCTAAAAATAGGAATTTCTGCCATCAGTAATGTGCCTATTTTACACTCAAAAATAAATGCTGTAAAACTGCAAAAAAATCTTCAGGCTCAGCAGCTAACGGGAGAAGTTAACCATCTCAGTTTCTGAAGATCCCTTAACAGCATTATTGGCATGTTTCGACACAGCACTAATCTTAGATTGGAGAAGTCCTTGTATATAGAAGGGCTGTATATTTATCTAAATTAGCTCTTTATATCTCAGGTTGAGAGGCCTATTGTATAGCATTATAAAATTGATTTAGATAGCATCCAATGTTATTTTTTAATTGCCTGGTGACCTGCACCATACTCTTATCTTGACTAACTCTTCTTGTAGTAATTTAGCAGGGAATTCAATGGACATGTTACTTCTACTCTCAAAAATGACAAACAAGATTGCCAGTGGTTGTGGCCTTTAATATAAGACCTAGACTTGCAAATTCTCCCCTACAGTCTGTTGAATCTGAATTGATGGTATTGCAATCCTTTACTTGTATAGCTAGTAAGTTTTTTTTTTTGTTTTCATGTTGGCCTCATCAAACGACATTTGCAGGGTCAGATCCTTTCCAGATCTAATTTGCTCCTCTCTTCCCTCCCCTTACTTTCTTCTGTCCCAATTTTCTCCATATTTGTATGTCCTACCATTCTCCTTGTAGCCCATTCCCAGGATGACTTCTGGTGCTCTGTAATAGCGTGTGACCACATAGGGTGTCATCATGAAGCTAGTGCCTGCAGTCCTTGCCAGTCCAAAATCCAGGATCTTCAACGTACAGTCTGATTTTACCACAATATTACTTGGTTTTAAATCCTGTAAGATATGCAAGAGAGAGAGAGAGAAAGGGATAAGCTTTAATCTCACACCCACAATATCATTGGGTTTTGTCTATTGTGGGAGAAGAGTGTGAAATGAAAGACCCAACAGGGCCTAAAGCTGACTGAAAATTATTCATTGATGAGCCAAGAAAGGTAATTGGTATTTCAGCGATGGCCAAAACTTTGATGCCCATACATGGACCTCATTTAATTTTTTTTTTTGGGGGGGGGCAACTGAGAGCATCAATAATGGGCCAGTGATGCAACAAAATGGTGGTGTTTGTGTCTGTAGGAGATGACTGGGCTGAACCCAAGGGAGAGGTCAACACATCATTAGTCACAAGTCCTAGAACACCCATAAGAAATCTAAGCTCACCTTGAATGCTTTTTATTCCCGCTCATCTTCCTTGACCATTAGTAGCTCAGATTTTTATAGAGTGCTTAAGCTTGCAATAAATCCTTATACCCATTGAAATTGCCCAAATCTCCTGATTTCCCTGGCATTTTGACAGTGTCATAACCCTTTAGTGGAACCAGGTAGAGAATAAGGAAGGTGACAGGGATGGAAATATGCAAGATCCATTACCTAGGCAAAAGGGTCTGAGAAATGAGACAACGGTTGGAAGCATATCAGGTAGTTGCCTTCCAGACTCATTGGAGTGAAGGGATTGAGGTATAGCCACAATGAGACTTGTGAGATTCTGTTACAGACAATCTCAAAAATATAGTTTAGTCTTCCTGTGGAATTAATTTCTTGATATGGTCTCACCGACGAGAATTTTCAGTCTTATTGATTTTTAAGAGGATTGGGGTGGGTGGGGGTGTGCTTTTAAAACAACAGGACTTGTACACTTGCTTTTGCAAGTTTTTTATCTTAAAAACCTTGCACCACAGCAAATGTAGTTAGAATAAATTTCAGGGATGCAAACAACAAATTTAGGGTGCTATGTGTTCCCTCCCCTCTTGGGCTTTGAAATCTACACTGCTGCTCATTTCAGTGTTTCTGGCTATGGTGGAAGTACAATAAAAGCTTTGAGGTGGGCATGCCCACGAATAATAAAGAATGCACAAGGAATAATAAAGAATTCACAAATTCATAATTTTCTTCATTTCATTCTTGTGGGGAAATCGTTCTTACTTTCATAGAGAGAGGCCAGCTTACCCTGTGAATGATTCCTGCAGAGTGAAGGTGTTTGATACCACACAGCATCTGATAGAGCAGGTAAGACATTCGCTCGTGATCTAACTCCATTTGAATCACCTGGCACAAATTGGCATCCATCAACTCCATTACTAAATAACTAGACAGGAGAACAAAGTCACATCATCATTCCTTGGCTGAGATGCTTCCAATGTAGCACTCCTTTCTACAGTCTCAGCCTTTCACAAATACCTGATAAAACCATCATTTTTTCTTCATATATTGCTTGACTTATGTTTGTTTATTTGTATCCCACCCTTATTATTTTTTACAAATATATTCAAGGCACTGAATATATCCAACACATCTTCCTCCTCCTATATCTACTATCCTCCTCACCACAACCCTGTGAGGTGAGTTGGGCTGAGAAAGAGTGACTGATCTAAAGTCATTCAGCTGGCTTTCATGGCTGAGGTGGAACCAGAATTCACCGTCTCCTGGTGACTGGCCCAAAGTCACCAAATCAGCTTTCATGACTGAAACAGGGCTGGAACTTACCATCCCCAGCTATCTTTCATGAAAAAGGTGGGACTTGAGCTCATGGTCTTCTGCTTTCTAGCCTGGTTTTTAACGACTAAATCAGGGATGTCAAACTTGCATTGTCACATGACATATCGTGACTTTTTTTGCCTTCACAAAACTGTGCATGGGCAAGGCCAGTGCGTGATGCATCTGGGCCATGGGCCACAAGTTTGACACTCCTGCACTAGACCAAACTGCCAAATATCCTCAAGTCAACAAATTATACTGTATTTTACATCATACCTTATAAAGAGTGGTTATGGCTTAACATAAAGCTTGAAAAACTTACAGTTTCTTTAATAAACAAATCAAGAGTTAGAACAATATGTGAGCCCAAATTCTGACTGGCAACATCTTTGTCACCTGCACTGTTTAAATAAATATATCTAGATTCTGAATTTTGGCCTTATTTCTAATCCTAAATGTAATTTTTTTAACTACAACATTTATTGTAACAAGCCTAGAACTTTCCTTTTGCTTTGTTTAGATATACATGGAGTAAGTTCACACATAATGATTTGATTTATTGCACTTTGATTTATTGCACTACTTATCTTTTTTTTAATATATAAACAAGTGTCTGAAATTTGGTAAATTTTAAAATAATTATGTGTTCAAAATATTTAGGAGAGGAATTGGTTGCCTTCTCTCATCATAAGATACAAAGTGAGGACAACAAATGAATTTATAGATTACTCAGATTTCATTCTGATCAGGATTTGATTATGTGCCAAGCAAGAGAAAATAATACTTGATAGAAATATTAATATTTTTTTTTCTGTCAACTAATTTTAGAGCTGTGGGTTATCATAAACTCTAATGAAATAAAGTGTTTCACTTGACACTCTTCCTTTCTTTTAAAGTGAGATGATTTAAAGGTAAATTGCCAAATCTTCAAAATCCTGCATATCTTAGGAAATTCAGACAGAAGTCCCATCACAAAGCAATTAAATCAAATTCCTGGGAGCCATTGCCTATGTATGAATCTTGTATTCATTCTTCTTCCTCATTCCCTGTAGGTCATTTATACATTTGCTCAGTTCTTTCTATTAGGATTCTCAATGGCTGTTCTCTAGTTTCCTATTCCCACATCAAGCTGTAATTGATTTCTGAAATACCCAAAGTAATAGAAGGCTAGAATCTGCAAAACTCAGAAACTAAAAAAAAAAAAAAAGATTACCTTGAGCAGTTTCTAAGAAAGAGCAGCTTTTTATATTTTGTTGTTCTTAGCTTTTAGTTTTCCCGCAAGATACCAAAGTGATTACTACCCCTCCCTTGCAGCAAAGTTTCTCTCTTGACTGCATTACTTACACATCCTGGAACTCCTCCAGAGATTTCTGTGGTGTAAAGACATTTAATAAACTGATAATCTGAAACGCAACAAGAGACAAAAGGGAGAGAAAAGAATAATTAAATATTAATGGTTGATCAGGTTAACAACAACTGCCTCACTGTTTCCTATCTTATGCAGTTTAAAAGCAAAGGGGAAAAACTTTATACAAAATTCAATAATGTTTTCTTCCCAGCTAAGAGTTCTGTGGCTCCATTTTCAGCCGCAGTGGAAGAATAGGTAGAACCTGGAAATAAGGAGAAATTTTCTGACAGTGAGAAAAATCAACCAATGGAACAGCTTGCCTTCAGATGTTGTGGGAGCTTCATCACTGGAGGCTTTCAAGAAGAGATTGGACTGCCATTAGTCAGAAATGGTGTACGGTCTCCTGCTTGGACGGGGTGGACTAGATGACCTATATGGTCCCTTCCAACTCTGTTAATCTGAATTTGCAAAACCATTAAGCATCTCTGAAATTTTAAACATGGATCAGAAGCTTAGAGGAAATAGAGAACCTTTTGAAGAATGGCAGCTTGCCTATTTTAAAAAAAGGGTCATTGTTAAAATATTGACTTTTACCGCAGTTACTAATTTAGCTGCCACCAAAGTGTGGCTATAGATAGGATTCTGCTTGCTAGTGCCACTTTTGAATTCCTGTGTTTAGTTAGATTGAAGGATGTGTCTAGCAAGATTGAAGGATATACCCAATAAATGTAAATTTAAAGCCTACATCTGCTGAGGTATATCTTTCAATTTTGCTGTCAGCCAAATGTGTTGTCAGAGAAATGTCTGAAAGTTAACATAAGCAGCTGATATTAAAGACAAAGGCTGCATGGTATGGATATGTGATAATTTGTTTCTTCCACTGTCAAGGTAACTCTGGGGATGAGGTTGATAAAGTGCCAATAGTAGGCTGTACAACTATAGAGTAAATTTGAGATTCAGGTATTTAAATGACACCACAAACTCAAACTAGAGAATTTGACAGCAGTTCAGAAAATAAAACTACACGGTTATGTTTATTTTATCTTTGTTCTTGTTCTTTCAGACTGCTAATTTTGATATCCTGATTATATATGTTCCTTCTTCTGTCCTGGTACTTAATTTCTATTTGAACTGGACAGATGTTTATTTGTGATTCTTTCAACTAATTGATTACATGGCTTCTGATTTAGGCTTTGGGACTAAGAGTTTATGAGTCATTTTCTAAATAGGACACATTTATTTTCATTAAAACTGATCCCCTCTCTCCTTTGGGAGATATTTTTAATGTGGCCCTATGAAAATGGAATTTCTCTTCAATAATGTGTGAGCTTGCTATAATATTGTCATGTATTTGCTTAGATAGACATGTTAGTTATGTTTTGTTCTGTAGTTACTGGTAAGTACAACCCTGAAAGATGCTCATACATTTTTCATAGGCAGTATTTTGTCATAGGAGGACTGGAAGCCTATTAAAGAGCTCTGAAGAAAAAGCAAAAAAAGCACTTAAAAGCTGAACAGTTTTGAAGAAAATTTTCTTGTTCTGAATGACTGATGAAGGAGGTATAATTTTTATATATATAT